AATTATGAGCCTTTCGCTAATCATGTATCAACGAATCTAGATTTCTCTTCAACGCCTAGCAGCTGACCAATCAAATCCAAAAAATAACAGCCAAAAAACATGCATAAAATATTCAAAATCCAAGAGAAACACACACAAAAAAAAAATCCATGAATCTTCACTGTTATTAGGGTTAGTAAAAGCATCCACCGCCGCCCACAAACCGACGATGACCACCGCGATCATAGCAAGCACCGCGAGTAACAGAGAAGAACCGGTCGCCGCTCGGCCCTCCATCGCCGAGATACACGGTGGGTGCCGTTGAGCCTTAGCTGGTCCCGTGAACGAGCCTTTATTAGCCTAAACGAGACTTGTGAAAGGGTGTTGAGAAGGAAAAGGCGCCATTGTAGACGTCACCATCGCCAAAAGCTCTGCTCTGAGATTCGAAAGCTTTCACAGACTGGAGTGGAGAGAGAAAAGCAGAAAATACAAATATAATCCATGTATAGCGTACGTGGCTGCTTCAGGTTTCCCAAAATTCTATGTGATAAAATTACATGTTCCGTTAGCTTGGGTAATTATTAGATTTTGAATTACTATAAATATCTTGATTATTTCTAAAATATATATTAATATATTTTTTTTGTAAAAAAGGTAAATTAAACTTGATATAGGTTTCTCATTAATTTTAATATTTAAGAATATTTTTTAACAAGCACCCGTGTAATACACGGGTATTTTGTTGTACTAGTAAATAAATAAAAACAAATTAATAAGTGAACAAATATGTCGGCTAAAATGGGGAAATATGTTTAATGTGGGGTTTAGACTTTAGCATATAATAATCACCAATTATGTGGAAATTTATAAAAGTCCCAAAAGTAAAAGGTTTTATTATGATGTGGACTTATTTTATTTTTTTTATATTTTATTAAACAAAATTGTTAGTATATGTATGTACTTTAGTTCATGAAATAAAAATAATAATACATTTTTTTTTTATAAATACAAAAAAATGCATGCATTTGACATTATAAATACGCATTTGTTCGAAAAGTAATACATGTCGACCAGCCTAATTGTTAGATTATCCTATATTATAGTGTTTATTTCTTTTTATTATCACAATTAACTTATACTATGTGATACTAATATGGTTGGGGACAAAATATTGTTAACATAGCAAAACTTAGAGAACTTTCAATATTGAGGATTATAAATTAGATTAGGTTGCCTTGTAGAGACCTTATAGATAATCAAACTAGTTAAGAATTTAGTGTGATCATAATATTGGTTAAACATTATGTTAAACTTACTAACAAATTTTATAGAACTAGCAAATCCATTAATTAATACTCACAAAATTTATAAAGCTATTACGACATTAAATTGGAACTCACAAATTCTATAGAATTAGTATATTCATTAACTTATGTATTGATACGTGTGACAATTATGTTATAACTAGTACGTGACCCGCGCGTTGCGCGGCCTAATATTAAAAATGGTATGAATGAATGAAAATTTAATAGAAAAAATATTTTTTTAAAATTTTATTGAGATAATGTATAATAAATTATTTTATTAATCCATTTAAAAATACTTTCACAAATACAACATTATTAGTAGATGAACTCTTTTCGTTATCACTAATAGTATTAAAAAAAAAATTAATCTACAAACCTGGGGCGCGGTTTCCATCTTCAATAGGTATGGCCAGTCTTGTGATTCCATGGTGTAAGACAGGTTTTAGTCTGAGGAGTTCAATTAAAGGATTTCTCTATAGTAAGAGTGGTCCATGGAGATCGTGACTCTAGAAATAATAACTATTAATAAAAAAAAAAATTATAAAATCTAATATAATTTTTTTTTCAAAATTTTTAAAATTAAATATCTAAGCTTACAAAAATATGTGATATACCATGAAAAAAAATCATTGGTCACATTAATGACACTTTTTCAAAAATTTTTTATAAAAATGTATATGTGTCAGAAAAAAAAATAAAGTCATGATTACTATTGTACAAATAAACTAATATTGAATAATTAATGTTAACATGTACGAAGATGAGAAAATTAAAATTTATAAATACAAATTAAATATCTAATAAAAAAAAATGACTTCTATCTGTGTGTATTTAATTTTAAATTAAGTCTACATATTTTTTACTTTTTTATTAACAAAATAAATCTCAATATTTCTTTTTTTACAAAATAAGTGCGATGGTGATTAGAGAATGACGTGAAATATTGATCATTTGTCCTAAAGTTATAAATAGACTCAGAAACTCAATATTAAAATATTTATTTTTTGCGTGAAATTCACGAGTAATGTAATTCAATGCAATATTAAAATACTTATTTGTGCATAAAACCAATGAAAATTATAATTCATTATAATTATAATAAAACACTTTGAAATTTTTTTGTAATGTAATACAAAAAAAACGTTGAAATTATATTATATAAAATCTAAAAGAAATAAAATAAAACTAACATTATGATACATGATAAAGAAAAAGTAGTTGATGC